CCTCCTCCCTCTCTGCCACCTTCTCCTCCTGCTGCTGCAGCTGTGGGGCCGGAGCCCAGGCCAGGTGAGTGCCCTGCTCCTGAGCCACTGCCCAGCCCAGGTGCGTCCTGGACAGGGGTGTCGGGTGAGTGGGGCTCACCGCGGCCAGCCCACATGAGCACTCCTCCCAGAAGGTGACGAGATGACACTCCTGCCACAAGCAGAGAAGAGCCAGCCGTGACCAGGAGCCCTGGAGGAGCGGAACAGCTGGGGAAGGCCAAGGGCACCCTCGGAGGTGGAGGGGAGAAGACATGGGGACGCCGCGGGAGGCTGGGGCAGACGTCTGGCCGTCCCCGGGCTCCCCACTCTGACCCCGTTGTTCCAGGCAGGCGGCGCATGCAGACGCGGGTCGCTCACGCGCATCCCAGGACGGTGCCATCGACCCCACGTCCAGCACCCAGCTGTGCCCCTGGGCCCAGCCCATGCCCAGCTGCCCCTCACAGCCTCCTGCTGCCCCCCCCGCTGCCACCCCCCTGCCCTGTCCTCTCCAGGGAGGGCCCTGCTTCCCCTCCTTGCTCTTCACCTCTTGAGACAAAGCCAATAAAGATGCTCCCCGTGTGAGTCAGCTGCTCCCGCCAAAGGAGGCTCTCCTCACCCTTCTCCGCCAGGCCACCCCCAGCGCGGCCTGCGCCGAGGTCCCAAAAGACAGGGAGCCACCAGGGGGCCCTGGGGGAGGCTGTTCAGGCAGAGGGAAGGCAGGTGCCAAGGCGGGGGGTGACCGTGCCCCTCAGCCCTGGCTACTCTCTGCTCCCTTCCAAGCTGTGGCCCAGCCCAGGTCGGAGCAGGGCTCAGAGCAGAGGGCCCAGCCTGGACGAGGGGCCACCAGCTGGGGTGAGGCTCTCTGTGGGTCTGCCCCGGAGGTTCCTCAGCCCCCCACGCTCCTGGGTCTGGGGGGGCCAGGAGCGGGCAGCAGGTGCCGCTCCTAACCGCCTTGACTGGCTGCCAGTGCCCCTGAGATCCACAGCACATCTGTGCTCATCAGTTGGCCAACAGATGGGCCCGGCGTGGTATTTTTGGATTCGGTTAGACTCCGGGGCTGAGTGAACCCGCACAGGGCACAGGTGCGAGGAAGAAACAGTGCTGTCGGGGTCAGCCTGGGCGGGCGGTGGGGGACAAGGCTGGGGGCAGGGAGCCGCGCCCAGACACCCCAGAGGGGCCTCCTTTCACACCTTCGGTGGCTGTGGATTTCCACAGAAGCTTCTAGCCAAGGCTCCTGGTGACCTGACCCCCAGTTTGCCCTGGCCATGAGGATGGCCGGCCACCGGGCTGGGCCCCAGGAGATAAATTCAGAAAAAGGCAGAGCTGGGCCAGATGGCAGGTGCTGCAGCCGATTCTCCCACCAGCAACTGCCTCTGTCACTCAGACACGTCCCCAGCAGCAAAGCTCCCACCCACACCCAGTCTCTCTTGGGCCACCCTCTCGCGCAGCCTGGGGAAGGCACCAGGAAGCCAGATAACAGGCAGGCGCCATGCGTCCCAGCTCCAGAGCTCAGCGGGACCCCCGAGACGTCGACCCGGGAGCGGGAGAGCGGGCCTGGCTGCCCAGCCGAGGGGACTTCTATGCTCCGCAGAGAGCAGCTGCTTCCCCCCGACTTCCTGTCCCCCATCAGACTGCGGGGAACTAAGCCCCAAATCACAGGCACAGCCGGCCGAGGCAAAGCCACTGCCCTCAGCCTGAGGTGGCCGCTGTCCCCAGCCAGGGACAAGCCCCGAGCCCTGCCTCTCCCAGGCTGTGAGGAGTGGGACCTGCCGTCGCTGCCTCTGGGCCTCTCTCCCCGGCTGTGGGTCAGGTTTTCAGCTGAGGCCATGCCGGGGACCGCTCGGGAGCCGCCTGGTCACAAAGCCACACCAGACCCTCGGGGGTCCCCCAGCAAGGTACCTCGGGGTCTCCATGCCTTAAGAGGAGACCCGGGCCTCCCACGACAGCAGCAGCCGTCTCCTGTCCCTGCACACAGCTGGCAGCAAGGTGGTGGCTGGCTGGGGGCCTCGGGACGGGGCAGCTGTCTGGGGAGGCAGGTGGGGTCCCGGGCAGGGGTGTGCTCCTCCCATCCTGGGCCAGCTGGGTGTGCCCAGGCCCCTCCGAGCGGCCCAGGACGGCCAAGCCGTCCCTCAGCTGTCGAGGTGTGTCGTCCACTCTGGGGAGCATCGTGAGGGCCCAGAGCCCAGGCCCAGCAGGGCACAGGGAGCCGTCCTTCACCCTCACGGCCTTCCACCCTCTGGGTGCCAGCAGGCGCCACGGCGGCTCCACCAGGCCTGGCGCCTCTGCCCACTCTGGGTCCTCACCCTGCCCCCCAGCTGCACACTGAACCTCGGAGCCCCCCCCCGGCAGCTGGGCACAGCCACGTGACCCTTTAGCCAGTCGCTGGGACCTGGGGAAGCTTCCGTCCCTCCCTGAATGCGGTGGTCAGTGACAGCGGAGGTCCGCAGCCATCTTGGAACTCCCCCTGGCCACCTGAAGTCGGTGAAGGGCCTCGCTGGCCCCTGTCCCTGGGAAGTCCCTGGTGGAGCCCTGCCCGGGGCCATGGGTTCCGTGGCTGTGGCGGTTCCTGAGTGAGCTGCCAGGGACAGGCTGGCAGGTGTCGCGGGAGGGAGGCCATTGCCCGGAGGTGTGCCATGTGAGGCCCGCCTCCACCCCGCGGCAGATGAGCAAGGCCCTCAGGCAGGGGGCTTTGCAGAGCTGAGGGTGGACACAGGCACCCTGGGTCGGGCCAGGCCAGGGCTGCCCTGAGTGGTGCGACCCACAGGCCTGGTCCTGGGTCTTCCGGCCGCCCAGCGCCTGGCCCCTCTGAGTCTGTGGGAGGGCAGCAGGCAGGGGTCCTGAGGCTCCCCACTCGGCCAGGAGGACCCTCCGAGAGGACGGCCCTGCGAGGGCCACCTGGCTAACCATGAGGGGACACGAAGGGCACCTGGGGTCAGAGCCGAGCGTCCATCGTGTGCCCCCCGGGCCCATCTCCCCTCACGGTCAGGGCAACAGGCCTGTCTCGCCCCAGTCCACAGGGGAGGCAGGGACAGCCAGCAAGGGCAGCTGGGACCTGGGCTGCCCTCGAACTCTGGCCCGGAGCCCTTTCCAGGCTGGCCCAGGCCCCCCTGCCCCCCAGGGAGGAGATGCGGCCTGCAGAAGGGGCCATCTGGCCCCAGCTCCTAGCTTCCTCAGAGCTTGGAGGCCGTCTCCCAGCTGCTCCACGGCTGAAAGTATTTACATCCAAATATGTCCCAGGGTGCCACACTGCCCCTCAACCCCGCCCAGATCTGTCCTCGCCCCTGGGAGGTGGTGCCAGGTGGAGGGTCACTCCTTGCAGGACCTGCCCACCATTTTCTGGCTCACTAGGACCAGCACCGGCTGTGCCCTGCAGGGCCTACCTGCCCCAGGGCCTTGGCACTTGCCCCTCAGGCCTGGTTACTATCTGCTCCCTTCCAAGCTGTGGCCCCAGCCCAGGCTCAAACAGCGCTCAGGGTAGAGGGCCAAACCAGCTACTCCCAGACCTGGCTACTATCTGGCACCTGCGACCAGCCCTGGTCTGGATGCTTCCCCCAGGATGGGCACCCCAGGTGGGTGCGTGGGTGCACCTGGGCCTCCCTGACCGGGCGCCACCCACAGCACAGCCTCCATGTGCCGCCTGGTGCCACTTCTTGAGCTGCTCACTGCCTGGCTCCCCGTGGTGCTCGGGCCTGGGGCAGAGGCCTGATGCAGGGGAGAGCTCCCAGCTCGCGGGGTGCCCAGCAGGCAGTGCGAGGTGCGGGGCCTGAGCTCACGGGGCCCCGAGTGGGGTGGGGTGGGCACCCACACTGCTCTTCTCTTGCTTCTCGTCCACAAAAGGGGACCAGCAGTAGCAGCCACATCCCTCTGGACACGTGGCCTGGCCACGGACAGACCCCAAGGCCACACGCCGGGGAAAGCACACATGGGCCAGACACCAGGAGAGGGCTCCAGGCCAGAGCCTGTCCGCACCTGGCTCTTGGGCTGGTGGCCCGTCTGTGGCACTTTGTCACAGCCACGGAGCTGCCAGCCTTCCCGCCTGCTCAGCCCTTGGCGGCTGCCGGCCACCATGGTCCCGACTTGTGCCACATCACCCCAGGCGCTGCCTCTGTCCTCCCAAAGCCTGGAGGTCCCCCTGCCAGGTCACGGCCCCCTAGCCACGACGTGTGGCACAGCAGGCAGTCCAAGCCCTGCCCTGTGGGACAGTGGCGAATGTGTCACCGCGGCACTGACAGCCACCGGCTGCATCTCCTACCAGGCTCGGTGCAGAGAGTGGCCGAGCGGGACCCGCAGGCCAGTGGAGGCCCCGTGCTGCTGCCCCGCCACTCTGCGCCAGCTGCAGGCCGGGGGTCCCGGCTCCTTCAGGCCTGTGGCCACACATCTCAGGGGAGGCGCAGGGTCGTCCCCAAGCCTGCTCTCTGGTGGTTTAACAGATGACCTCCAACTCTGCTGCTGTCACCCACCCGGCTGTTGGACTGACGGACTCCAGCTGGGCACAGCTGCCCTGCAGACCCCGGCTCCTTGCAGCCACCACCCGAGGAGCCCACCTGGGACCGTGGCAGCTGCCAGGCCAGAATGAGGCCGGGAGGAGCCGGGGTCAGCCCTGGGGTCAGCAGCCTTCAGCCCAGCAACCTGGGCAGCTGGGCCCGCATGCCTGCCAGACTGAGCAGGTCAGTGTGAGGGCAGAGGAGGCCCCAGGCCCCACTTAGGGAAGACCCCAGTCCCTCCCTCCCCCTGTGAGCCTCCAGCACCCCCCTGAGGTGCTGCACCATCCCAAGAGAAGGCTCTAGAGTAGCCAGGGACAGGCAGGTGCGTGGAAAGCCCCCAGAGGCCAGGACTGGAGAGCTGGAGAGGGTGGATGGACGCGGCAGCCGGAAGGAGTCACCACAAAGCCAGTGCCCAGTGGAGGGTAGACACAGGGCAGCAGGCCTCCACCATACCCAGGACCTCCCAGAGGCCCCAGAGCCTCAGAGAGCTGCACAGTGGGCAGCAACGCCCTTGACGGTGACAGTCGGGGACCACACCTGCTCTGTCCAGTGTGGCAGGGCCTGATGCAGGACAGGACTCTCCTGAGCCCACAGGTAGACAGGGAAAAACACCAAGTGAGGCCCCACTGGTGAGAGCCATGCAGAAACAAAGGTACAAATAGACACCTCCTTATGGCAGGACAGCTGCCCGTCAGGACCGTCATTACAAGTGTCCAGAACATAGCCCCCAGGGAAGCGTCGATGTCAGGAGTGTTTCAGGCATGGCTGCATCCGGGGGCTCAGCAGCGTTGCTCCCGTCTGTCTCTGGTTCCATGAGAGGGCTCCCTTGAGGAGATGCCCTGGCTGCTGCCAGCCGCACCCTTGCCCAGAGGAAAGAGCCTCCTGTCCAGGCTCCCAGGCCTGTCGCAGGGGACAAAGGCCATCCTGGGCTGCAGCCACTCATAGTGAAAGTGGGCAGCGAGATTGGACCCTCTGGGTAAGGACCCCTGCCACCAAGAACAGAGTGGCCGGCAGGAAGGAGAGCAGGGCAGACGAGGGCCCTCTGCCCTGCCCCGCGGCCCGGGAGAAGTCTGGTGGGAGGCAGGGCTGGAGAGACAGGTCTGTGTCTCCTGCTGTC